GAAAGTGTAGGAGAGCTGAACGCAAATGGAAGAAGGATCAATTTCAGGTGTCATACCAAATATTACAAAACTACTGGAATTCCTATCAGAAGACTGTAAAAGATGCTAAGAGGAAACATTTCGCTGCTATTATTCAGTCAAATTGTTGTAAGCCTCACATCTTATTTAAGACTATTGACAGGGTCCTTCATGCTCCACAGACTGTTGGTGTCGAGTCCTCTCAGGAAATTTGTGAAAACTTCCTACACTTCTTTATTGATAAAGTTCTATCTGTCAAAGCGCAGATTCCCAGTCCATTATCGACCCTTCTATCCCTGTCCCTAGCTCTGCTGTCTTTGACAGGTTTGAGCCAGTTTCTTTGCTCTGCCTGCAGGAGTTGGTTTCTCACCTGAAGCCCTCAGGTTCCCCTTATGATGCTCTTCGTCATCAATTGTTCAAAGAGGTTTTTCTAACTATAGCGCTAGTTGTACAATCCATTGTAAATAGCAGTCTTTCCTCTGGTGTTGTACCTGTCAATCTTAAACATGCAGTGATTCAGCCTCTACTCAAGAAACCTGCTCTTGATCCTGATATTATTGCAAATTACAGACCTATTTCCAAACTGAATTTATAACAAAAATTCTCGAAAAGGTAGTTTACAAGCAATTAATGTCCTTTTTAGAAGAACGCGGTATTTTAGAAGTTTTCCAGTCTGGTTTTAAAGCTCTACATAGTACCGAATCTGCCCTTTTAAGAGTTTTTAATGATGTGTTTTTAGCAACTGACTCAGGCGACTGTGTTATTATCGTGCTTTTAGATTTAACTGCTGCAGGGTGTACACCCCACCCCTGGCGTCGTTGCCCACCTCTCAATTTTAAATACACGTAGACATTGAGGGCTAGCAGGAGGGACTATGCGCTTACCTGCTGCTCTCTGGCAGGTAGCTCCATGCCCTCCTGGGTTTTAATTGCACCTTAGAACACACATGCATCAACACTACAATGAGCGGGTGGAGGGAGGTTTGGATTCTTCTCTCACCCCCGTTCTCTGCGACCTGTTGGAGCGGGGGGGCTAGGAGGAGGAGTTGGCCGTCCGACTGCGGTCTGGGGTGTGGGGCCTCCCTGCTGCTGCGGAGTCGGGGCGGTCTGCCTCTCCCCACCGCAGGGAAAAGGGTAACACCACCTGGGTCTGGGTGCAGTTCCCCCCTCCAGGGGCAAGGGTACCTAGACCCGGTTTGTAGAGTACGCTTGGGGAGTGTGATCGTGTGTACAACGTCTCTTTATGTCTGTCTCCACGTTGGTTGAGTGTGGAGTAAGTGCATATGAGAGCATGAGGGTGGGAATGGATGTTTGTATCTGTGTGTGCCTGTATGTCTGTGTCTATATGTCAGGTTGGGTGTCAGGCGCCACCTCTCTGGGGACATCTCAGGCCCTCCAAGGTTTGGAGGCCTATCTCCCCCTACCACCACTTCCACTGCCAGTGGCGGACTCCCTCAGACATCGGTGCGTTGGTGGTTCTTTGTGTCTGGGGGTGGGCATCCAGGTACACACCGGCTCACTCCTTGGCGGCCGCTTATCGGGGCCTGGAGCCTGGGGCTCGCTCGGGCCACTTCGGAGGTGGGGTGCCCCCGGCCTCTCGGCCTGGGGCTCGGTCACTCAGGCACAGCTGGCTGCCGGCGGAGCTCACGGGCGCGTCACTGCAACTCCCCCTGGCTTCTGCTCCGCGGCTGCTGAGTGAGCCCTCATCTGGGACTCTCCTCAGCTCTTTCTGGGACAGTGGCGCGGCTGCCCCTCTGTTGGTCTTCCTTGGTCTCTTGTGTTCTGGGGGCCTCTGGATGTCTGGAGTTTTGATCTCCTCCATACCTGCTTCATGCCCTGGAGGACGGGGCTGTGGCCCCCCCACACTCCCTAGCAGATCATTACATGAAGGAACCTTTTAAAAACAAGCGCGTCCATGTTCACAGGTGTACACACGGGTGATCACACCCACAAACTACACCCTTTTTGGCTCCTACCTCAAAGCACACTATGTTCTGTTGATCTTATGTGCTGCACAATAATGTTTAATATTTAGTATTTACTGTCATATTCCCATATATCATTGTGATGTTGTTTATTCTATTACTCTTGTTCTCTTCTGCTTGTTTTCTTTTTTCTTTCTCAACAGGTGATCCAGGTGATTGATATATGCATTTTTTTTCTTCTTCTTTTTTTTCTGCCCATTCTGTTGGTTTTTGGTTTTTGCCCTTCTCCCCCGTCCCTCTTCTCAGCTGTTTCTCTTTCCCTCTTTCTTTCTCCCCTTCTTTCCTCCAGTCAAGTCTGTCCCGTATTCAGCAAGTGAAAATAAAATAAACAATAAAAGGTGAATCAAATGGAGAAAAAAAAAAAAGATTTAACTGCTGCTTTTGATACAGTGGATCATAATATTTTAATTTCCCGTTTAGAGCAGTTGGTGGGTGTTAGGAGTACCGCACTGCAGTGGTTCAGATCCTATTTGGAAGAGCGAACTTTCTCTGTGAACTCGGTGAGTTTGTATCCTCTGCTGCTTCTCTTCAGTGTGGGGTCCCACAGGGTTCAGTTTTAGGCCCGCTTCTTTTTTCCCTATATCTCCTACCCCTTGGGTCTATTTTCAGGAAACATGGGATTTCTTTCCACTGTTATGCTGATGACTTCCAGATTTATTTCCCACTTAAAAAGATAAATGGCTTCTCAGTAGACCCGCTGCTCAGATGCCTTGATGAAATAAGGGCCTGGATGGCTTTGAACTTTTTACATTTTAATGAGCAGAAAACAGAAGTGATGGTTCTTGGTGGCGCTTCTGAGGCCACTACTATAGATCTTGGTTTGCTGGCACAGTATGTTAAACCAGTCATCACTAATCTGGGAGTTAAAATGGAGGCAGATCTTAAACTTGAAAGCCAGGTCAGAGCTGTTGTAAGATTTTTTTTCATTTGAGGCAATTAGCCAAAATAAAGCCCATCTTATCGAAACAGCTTTTTGAGACAGTAATCCATGCCTTTGTTACTTCTAGGCTGGATTATTGTAACGCACTTTATTGTGGGGTTAGTGATGCGTCCATTAGGCGCCTGCAGGTTGTGCAAAATGTTGCAGCTCGTCTTTTAACTGGAACAAAAAAGTTTGAGCACATTACCCCCATTTTAATTTCATTCCACTGGCTACCTGTACATTTTAGGATTGTTTTTAAAATTCTGTTATTTGTTTTTAAATCTCTTAATGGCCTGCCCCCCCCTACCTCTCGGAGCTACTACAACCATATACACCTGCCCGTTCCCTTAGGTCCGCCAATCAGCAGCTCCTTTAGGTACTGAAACTAAGTATAAATTTAAAGGTGATCGTGCTTTTGCTGTAGCTGCTCCAAAGTTGTGGAATGATCTGCCCTTGCACGTTAGGCAGGCCTCTTCTCTTTCTGAGTTTTCTTAAAACATATTTATTCGCTGAAGCCTTTGGCACTGATTAAAGGGATTGACTCAATTTGTTTTAACATGTTTTCATTTATTTTAGTTATTTAATCTATTTTATCTTATTTTTATTCACTTTACTTGTGCTATTTGCATGTACAGCACTTTGTGAACTCTGGTTTTATGTTAAAGTGCTTTATAAATAATGGCAGTATGGTAATGTTCTCTAACAAACCACCAAGGTCTTCACAGAGCAGCTGTATTTATAATGAGACTAAATTATACACAGGTGAACTTGATTATCTAATTTGGTGACTTCTGAAGGCAACTGATTGCACTGGGTTTTATTTAGATGTATCAAAGTACAGGCGGCTGAATATAAATGCACACTTTTCAGATTTTGATTTGCTTAAAATTTAGAAAACCCATGTATCATTTTTGTACCTCTTCACAATCATGTGCTACTTTGTGTTGGTCTATCACAGAAAATCTCAACAAACATTTAAGTTTGTGCCTGTGACAAAATGTGTAAAAGCTCAAGGGGTATAAATACTTTTAAGGTACGTACAAAGATTCAGTAGCAGGAGAGCCACTTCCACTACCTATTTTATAAAAACACACTGTGCCTCATGCAGAGATATGCAAAGTGTTTAGCCAACAGTTCATTAAGAATCACTAAAGAATTTTTTTCCAAAAAAAAAAAAAAAAAAAAAAAAAAAAAACACTATTTTGTCTATCAAACTGTTCTTTGGTATTTTTCACATAAAACAACATGAAATGGGAACAAATCACATATTTACATCAGGCTGCTAGTAACTAAATGAGTAAAGATACAATTTTTAAAAAATGGTTCTCTGTGAAGTTGTCTCTCACGTAGGAAACACTTGTTCACCCTTTGAGTTAGGCTAGTTGTGGTGTTTGAATGACTCACAAGTCAGCGTTTTCTTAAGTGGCTTAAGAAACATGTTTCTCTGAAAACGGTCGGGTACAAGGACTGGAGTGAAAATGAGTTTATAAAAGCAGCCTATGTCCCTCCAGAAGCCTGGAGAACTAATGCTCAAGAGCACTGCTCTTAGCCCACGACTGAAAAGAGGCAGTGGTCTACGACACCGGCAGTAAGTACACAACGACTAATCTGCAAAACTGAAAGTGTGTGAAAGAGAGAAGAGTGAAAACAAACTACAGTTCCTTTTAATTTTATTACAAAAACAAAAACAGGATTTTCAGAATTAACAGTACAACATATCTACTCAGACTGACCAAAAAAAAAAAAAAAAAAAAAAAAAAAAAAAGGGGGGACAGAGAGGAGGATAAGTGCGAGGGTGAAGTGTGTCTGTGTCCAAATCCATTTATAAATCCCACTTTAAAAAAAAAAAAAGATAAAATAATTAGAAAACGTGCATCTGCCCCCTCCCATCCCTAAAAAATAAAGGACATTTTCCCCCCATCTTATTACCACAATTTAACAAACATTGACAAAAATAAGAGGGGAGAAAAAAAAAAAAAAAAAAAAAAAAAAAAAAGTGGACACGGTGGGGAAGACGAGAGGAAAAAAAAAAAATCAGATTTCTCAGTTTATATAAAACACTTGGCAGAGGAGATGTCAAGTCTTTTTATTTATTATCCATTAGTTAAGAAACTCAGCTTTCTTTAACAGAAAATAAACAATGCTTGCAATAAAAACCCATTTAACCACACTCGCACGCACTCGCAGACACACACACACACACAGACAATAAACCCTGATGGATGGATGAACGAAGGTGGGAAAACGAAGGTAATGAATGAAGTGTGGCTGTCCTGCTGGTTCTGCAACATGACACTTCACCGACAACAACTAAAAAATAAACAAAGGGGGCGGTGTCTACGTCTATGTACACTGTGTGTGTCTGAGCGCAGGTGTGTGTCTGTGTGAAGTGTGGGGAGCCGGCCGTGGTGGGAGGGAGGGTCAGGTTTGGCAGTATGAATGGATGTTTGGGACGTTTAGTGCCGTCGCTTCTTCTTGCTCGGCGGGGCTGATGGCCGCACCTTCCTCTTCCTGTTGGAGGTGTCCTCGTCCTCATAATGGCTCTCTCTGTCAGCTGCAGGGGAGGAAACAGAAACAACCATGAAACAGCCCTGTGCTGTGATCAACCCTCGTGGCTGATACTGCAGATTCCTCCACCACATCCCAACATGTGCGTTCAGAGATGCTCGTCTGCATAACGTCTGCAGCCTTCAAGCAGTCTGTGATCAACAAGGCAGTTTCTCTCAGAGAACTGCCGCTCACTGGATATTTTCTCTTTTATTTTTTTATATAATTCTCTGTAAACTCCAGAGATATTTACGTGGGAAACAACAAACACTTTTAAACACTTTTCTTCCTCATTCTGATGCTCAGTCTGAATTTCGGCAGGTAGTGTTCACGCCTGATTGCATCGAGTTGCTGCCATGCGATTAACAGAAATATTTAAGTAGCCAATGACCAACTAAAGAGGTGTGACTATTGAAGCGCTCGTGAGTTAACAGCCATATTTAAATCTGTGATTCCTGAAGAGACCGTTTGTATTTAGTCACATGACAGTTAGGTGCTGCAGATGTGAAAAGTTTGCTTTTAGATGAGTACTGTGGGGTTTGTGTGCATTTGGTGCCCTCTAGTGGCTGATGCCAGGTTTATTTTGAGTATGTGGACACTGACAGCGAGCCCTGAACGCTCTTCAAGTGCAAGTTTTGAAAAACCAGAGTCTACAAATACAAACCTTTCCTGGCTTCTTCCTCCAGTTCATCCCAGTCTTTCCCGCTCTCCTCCTCACTGCCCAGTGACGCGCTGTAATCTGTATCACACACCCAAAAAAAGAAAATCTGGTTCATCAGTGTGTACAAGTGTGAGTTCAAGGCAAAGAGCTGTTCGGGTACAAATCATTTTCTCAAGCTTTTATTGATCTTTTCATTCATCAGAGGTTCAAACTGGCCCATGGAAATCATACCAGAGTCCTCCGTCTCTGAGCTGTAATCCTCATCACTGTCTTCCTCTTCCTCTTCTTCTTCATCTGCAGATGGGTTGAACGTCTCATCCTCCATTTCTGACTCTGAATCTTCCTCGCCGCCGCTTCCCTGAGGCAAAACATGGCACGCAGAGAGGCATGTAATCACAAAACTAGCCGCTATTTTATTCTCAGCACTGTGTTACGACGTGAAAGGAGTTCTTGAAAGGAAAAACTGGGAACATGGACCATTTTAAAACTGTAAATGTCTGCTTAGGTTATGAAACCATGAACTCACCTCGCTCTCTGGATCCAAGAAAGACCAGCCCCCCTGCTCGAAGAACCCCTCTGGGTCGTCAACGATGGTCTTCATGATCTTGGTCCAGTTCAGAGACTGGACGCCCTCTGTGTACTTGATGTCACAAGAGCTAAAAAGGAGAAAACGGAGAAGAGAAAAAAGTATTAATAATTCATCTGAGATATTTTTTTAGATGCATTAAAAATTAAGTCACTGATTAAATCGACTGGCCTTACTTGAGCCACTCTTTGATAGGGTCAAGAGAGTTCACAGGCACAGCGTTGATCATGGTGACCTTCTTGTTGTAGTCCTTGTAAACGATGACCACGTCAAAGTTCTTCAGGTGGAACTGCACGCGCTCAAAGTGAACCAGCTCCACCTCGTCTAGAGTAACTACAAACGGCGGCTGCAGACGGAGGAGACAGATTTTTAACAGACTGAACTGCCGGCAGGTCACTGCACACATTTCAGCTTTCTTCTTCACAGATTAAACCTTTGAACCGTCTGCAGCTCAGTGCCAGCTGCTCACTCACCCATTCAGTAACATTGACAAGAGAACTGGACGTGGGTTGTAGCAGGCAGGTACTCCTGTAGGGGGCGCCCTGGAACCTGTAAACAAAAGAAGCATGGGCCACGAGCTCACAGGGGTGTCCACATTGTCCTCGCACGTTTGCGTTCCCGGCGGCCTCGTTTACTCACCCCAGGTCTCTGAAGGGCACCTCGAACTCCAACTCCTCTTTAGTCAACGTCTCCACCTTCTCGATGAAGTTCTTGAAGGCCGACTTGAGCTTGTGCCTCATCTCCCGCTCCATCTGCTCGGCGTACAGGTCGTCTCGGTCGTGCATGTGTTGGTGTTTGCCCAAGTCTGTGGTGATCTCGCCCACCTCTGTGTAGAACTGGACGTCCGTGTGGCGTCTCTTACCAAACATGATGGCGTTCTGGAGAGAAACGCAACAGTTTTTAGACCATTTTCAGAATATTTAAAGGGAATCGCTAAAATACAATGAGAGACAGACGATGAGTGAATACACTGAAGAGTTATAGATCACTGAGACACTTATTTAGAGTTAACATGAAGCTCCACCCAGCAGAGTGCTCAAGGTTATGAAGAGGAATGTGGGGGTGGAGTCCCCTAACCCTGCTCAGATGAAAGGGAACAAGCCCACCTTCAGCTACTCTGAACCAAAAGTAGCTGAAGGCGGGGGGGGGGGTCACCGACCGGTGTCTAGGCCTGTGCGACTGAGGCCTAATACAATAAAAGATCAATTAAGCCCAATCTCAAAAATGGCAGACTTTTACAAGCCTCTTTTTTATTGCAAAGTGTTAAGTCTCTGCAAAGTACTGCAACTTAATATCAGCAAATAAAAGTAAATAAATAAATAAATAAATAATGCTGCAAAAGCTCACAAAACACACATTTCTATGTTGAAGAACCATGTGTGTTTCAATCGCATTAGTCATAAATGACTGTAGATGCATGTTTGCCCTCAGTAGTTCACCACAGCTGTTCCATCTTTTTATTGTATCCATCTAAATCACTTCCGTTCTCTTTTGTTTGGAATTTTTTGGGGAGCTTTGCCAACATTTTGTTTTCAGTTTTTGTTGTGCTCTGCATGTTTTTTGCAGTGTGTTTACCCTCTTAGGGCCACCATAGTTACTGCAGGTCTCAAAAAGTTAAACTCCTTCATAAGAGGTGAAATTAACATCAGCAACACTCCCACAGGGCTCAAATCTGGGACTCTCCACCATTTGACCCTAAACTGAAGAAGCTTCTCGGATGAGAGCTGAAATGTCTTCAAGCAACTTAAGTTCAGACGCTTTTCTTTCCAAGCTCCTTAGATCAACAACTAACCTGACACTGTAAACCATTTTATTTTTCATCACAGCTCAACTCTAAGCTCTGATGATATTACATCACTGAGCGTTTGGGTTTGTAATATTGATTTTACACAAATATACTTATATATACACAATGTTAAAATAAATTAAGGGAGCACATGACCATCACAGTGTGGAACAAAGTCTGTGAAAGTTCAGTCTGTCGAGTGAGGAAGCAGAGAGCGCTGTCAATACACTTCAGTTGCTTTGCTGCAAATCAAACTGACAGGAGAGGAAAACAGACCTCCTAGCATAGTTGTTGCTACAGTCTCGTGCTGCCATCAGTGATAAGGACACAAACAAACACTAACGAAAACTCAGTCAGCAGGTCTGAGCAGAGAGCTCTGTGGACACCTGCTGCCCCTGTGATGATCGAGCGTTGCCCTAACCACAGATGAAAGTGAAGTCTCCAGATATTTTAAGGGTGTATTTTTGAATAAGCATACCTTGAGGTGGAAGTGCAGTACGATGATCATCTCACCGTCACACGGCTGGAAGATGGCGTGTTTGATGTTGTTGTAAAGAATGTCCACTTTGTCACCTCGGACCGACGTGAAACGGAAACCTGCACAGGGGAAGGAGGGGAGGGAGAGAGATTGATTCCCACTTTTAACGACAACATTTTTGAGATTTGGGCATCCTCGTTTCCCAGCATTCCCACTGACTGCTGTCCTCACCATTAGTATGAGCCTCCAGCGAGCCCTGCATCCTCTTCTGTGCGATGTTGGGTCTGATGTAGAGGTCTTTGAGTTTGGGGTTGCTGCGGTTGAGGTTGATGACCAGCGAGTCTTGCTTGACGATGCCCTCCTTCTCCTTCTCTTCGGCCTCTCGTGTTTTGTAGCGCTTCTGCACCTCCTTGATGATGCGGAAGGCGTTCTGCAGGTTGGTGGAGGGCACCGATGTGTCGCCGGGAGCCTTCAGGTTGGACGCCCGGTACGTGCTGAGAGGTGAGCGAGGGCAAGAAAAGGATTATTGGAACACCTGCTCCTTCAAACACTGCAGCACAACAAACACACACAGTGACTTGGCCAATGTGTGAGCAGAGAAATCTACACACATGCTGATAGAAAGAGCTGGACAGACTCACATTTCTTTGACGAATGTGGCTTCAGGGTTGGGGAAGATGTTTCCCTCCTGTCGGCCCAGTGAGCTGCCAGGGACGTAGAAGTTGATCCTCAGGTAGGTGTAGTCTCCTTCTACAGACATACTGATGTTCTAAAAAGGCACAAACGCAAGAAAAATGTCTGTAATTAAAACCAAAAAGGTAACACAGACTCTTGGTGTACCTAAGTGCAACTGGTTTGGATGTAGTTGTGGTAGACCCCCCCATAGAAGGCATAAGCTAAGAGTACCTTGATGGTGGCGATGTGAAATGGTGTGGCGATGCCAAAGACAGGCATGACGACAGTCTCATACTTCTTGTCGATGAAGATCTTCATGTCCCGGATGTCCTTTTCTCTGGGCATCTGAGACACGTTCTTATAGGAGACGTTAGATTTCCTGGCCCTGAGAGGAAGCAGAGTGGAGTCGCTTAATCAGGAGAAACTTAATTAAAAGTCAGAATTTACAGTTCTGCTGCCAACTTCTGTCCTGGGTTTATTTATTTAAAAAAAAAAAAAAAAGAACACAAATCTAGGCACTTAAAGTTTCTTGTGTGGCGTGCAAAAAACAAATATAGCTAAACACCCCACACATCTTTTCGCTCACACTCAGCTGATGCCGACATCGATCAAAGCAGCAATGAGACAGCCTGTCGCGCATCACTTCAGAGCAGTTCATAACACGTCCTGCACAAAAGCGGACCGGCACGTTGTAAAAGGCACAACTTTTATTTTGATGGCAAAAGGGTCCCACTTCCTGCTTGTTTTGCACTTTAGTTTCACTGAAGCTTGAAGAGTAACAAATCAGACTGCAGGCTTTTGTGACTTTGCTCTTATTCACACGATCCAATTCAGACACCAAAAAGGTCCACAGGTTATTAGTGTCACACAGGACCAAAGTCTTTTACTACTGCCCCTGCTGGCCTTTAAACACTTTTCCCTAAAGGTTTCCACTTTTCAGCTCAAAACTCCAGCTTTTACTTCATCTGAAGGCAGGAGCCTTCAGCTCAAACTTAAGGAGGTCCAGTTAGAAAAGTAAAATTAAGACGGGTTCAACACTATTTATTATTAATTATCACAATGACCTCGAGGGTCTGCCGATATATATTTATTCCCATATATTTATTAGTTTCAGGTTGGCCATTCTTGTATTTTGCTCGTTTGTGTTGTTGTGTTTTGCACATCTCTGTTGCTTGTGGGGCTCGCACACAAGAATTTCACTCGCATGTGCTGTGCCAGTGTGCCTGCACATGTGATGTGACAATAAAAGTGATTTGATTTGATAATAAAATATTTATCATTTCAAGTTAAATAAAGTTTACATTAAAAAATAAATTTACGTCATTTGAAAAAAAAAAAAAAAAAAAAAAAAAAAAAAAGGTCTAGTTTGAGTTTCTTTCACGCGTAAACCATCTCAGCTTCACAACTTCTTCCGCCCGTTTCCTCGATTTATCGCGCCTCCTCGCAGAGTTTTCTGTTTTCGCAAATGCTCTGAATAAACGATTTGATTGGTTGAGCAGCATCGGGTGGGATGAGTTACAATGTAAGTGATTGGTCTGTGCGTTTCCTCTGTACAGACCAGACCAGTCTGGGTCCAGATCTGGACTGCGCTACACCTACTGGTGACCTACAACCTACAGCAAGCATTTGCGTGGTTGAGCACTACATTGACCCACTCTAGTTTAACCGGAGTGGATCTCTTTAACACATTCATGCCGTTTCTTCACCTGATAGCTTCAGTTCATTATGGATGGTGAGAGTACCGACTCACTTCTGGATCTGCTGCTCTCCTTTCTGCTCCGTCAGACGGCGCTTCGCTTCTTCATTCAAGTGATTGGCCAACTCCTTCTGGTGAGCCCGCCTCTTCTCCTCCGCCGTCATCTCGTTCTAAGTTTGACAAAAGACACAACTAAGTGACCACACGGAGACACCAGGACCACGTTTTGTTTTAAAAACTATTTTTAAAAAAAAATAAGGTGGAAAAACACAACACACATGCAGAGAACAGATGTGTTAAAGCTTTGGATGGACAACAAACAGAAACAAACACAAAAGTGTCACTCAAATAAAAATAACAACTTCATTCCCATCAGCAAAGGTATTTTTGAGACTAAACCAGTTCAGCTGATGAGATTTTAGGAAAAAACAATGAATACTTACCTTCCCAAGTAGCTGATAGAGTACAAAGACATTCACACTCTTAGTTATCAAAACTCCGTCAAGGCGGCAAAAATCACAAAAAAAACCCACCAGTCACACACTGAGCGACGCACGCGCCCGCACTTACCCTGGTTCTGTCTGCGAGCAGAGCGGCGCTGCGCGCGCCTTTCCCCAGCAGCTCCTCTGCGTCGTCGACCTCTTCCTCCTCATCCTCTTCGTCATCATTCTAAAAGAAGCGAAAACAACGTTCACTTCCTGCTCTCCGTCTTATTTAAATCAGATTCACAAGAAATCCACCACACTAACACTTAAAACGTAGATGGTGAAAGAAAAGGTGAAGCACCACAGAAAGCATCTGTAACCATGTAAATGTCAAACATATCTATGAAAAGTCAAGAGCTGCATCTCAGGTGCTGCTGCTGAGTATGCACAATATACAAACTATGAATATGAAAGGATAAAACCCTAACATCTGGATGGCACATCAGCATTTCCCCACTTCACTCTGCTAAACTGCCCAGGTGTATTTTGTCCTTGTTTTAGCATTTTTCACACACTTTTGAACCCCTCCCTCTTATTTTGAAAGTCCAGTTGCTGCTCCTTCCCACGTTCCCTGCAACAAAGAAATCCTCTGCAAGCCTCACGGTCTCCTTTAACAACAACCTGCAGCATGTATATGTTGCTCTACCACGAAGCTCTCAAAGGGGCAACAAACTGCATTTCCAGAACTGGAGTCCACACACAACAACAAACTGACCAGAGTGAAAGCTCAGCACTGACAAATTAAATATCACATATGCTGTTTATAAACTGAAAGCAGGGCTGTACTACAGGCATCACCAACCCAATCACACACGTACAGTGCTTTTAAAGTGCACCGGGAGTGTCCAAACACTTTCCAAAAGTACCGTATTTATTAATGGGGAAGAAAAACCCCACTTCGTTTTCAGTAACACAAGAACTGTCATGATGGCGATCACTTGTTTTCAAGCCTAAACACAATAAATCTACTTTTTCGCTCAAATGTGGAGAATAAAATAATAACGACAAAGCGGTCAGCAATACGTGAAACTTCAGTGAAGCTGCTGAACATCAGCGTCTCAGGCTCATGTTAAATGTGAGTTACTATTTTGTGTATTGTAAGTCTTATTCTTATTTTGGTTGCAACATGGATCAGATGGTGCTGCCACCATGAGGTGAACAGAGAAATTACACTTTATTAAAATCTGTGGTGGCAAGCCATAAATATATGGCTTAATAAATAATACACAGGCAGGAGTACCATTCAGTCAACCACCAGAGCCACAGCAACCCTAAGAGGTGTGGCCCAAACACCTCTGTCCATATAATACGTGATTATAAATGTATAAGGACGTAAATACTCCTCTTCAGCTCCTGACTCTTATAGAAAGCGGACACAGTGACCACGCACCTTTAGGAAGATTCCCACGTTTTTGATCTTTTTCTTCACCGGTGTGAGGACTGTGGCGGCCTCCTCCTGTGATACACACACACACCAGGACATCAAAAAGACTGACCGTCATGCTTCAGCGTCAGCATGAAGACAGCAACTTAACCAGATGCACACGTATGTGTTTAACAGTGTGTACAGACCAGTCATTACTGTTTTTTTAAATTAACATTTATATTTTTGTTGCTTGTCTGACAAAGTCATTTGCTGGGATCTACTCCAACAGGGCTGCTTACCTCATTGATCTGTATAGTGTCACCAAGAAACAAGGCGTACTTCTTCTGCTCTTCTTTCTTCGCATCTTTATTCACCAAGTCAGAAAAACCCAAGCTGACGCTGAGCACTATCCCTGAAGGACACAACGTCTCCTTTAAGAAACTTTCACTAATGCATAAAACCACCTGTGTGCTTAACACAGTCGACAGTCTCACCTCTTTTTAGTCTGTACTGATTTTTGGCGTTCAAAACCAGCGACCCTTCTCTGAACTCGATCCCCATCGCAAAACTACAACAAGGAAACAGACATAAGTGTTCTGAATTTGAGGACGTCCGAGAGAAGAAAGCCCCTGTGGGTACTTACCCGAGGTTTTTGGTCAGCTTCTGCGCGAGCTCCGGCTTCTCTTTCTTCACGTACTCCAAGACTGCATTGTATGCGTCACAGATTTTGACTCCTGTGGAGGACATGCAGGAGGTTTACACACAGACAGCACTGACACACTTCCCTCCTGCAGCCTAAAACTCATTAACAAGTTACAGTTCAGGTTCAGTGAAAATGTAAAATATGTGATACTGATTTTCATAATGCAAGACAGCCTGATTTTTTTTTTTTTTTTTTTTTTAAATAAAAGCACAGCTCCCCCCAAAGAGCCAGCGCTAAACCGATGTCTGACCTTTGACCTTGAAGCATTGCATACGCATTTCTCTGACCTTTGGCGCTGTCAATGAAGGTTAATAAATACCCTCATCCAGTGTTAGCAACTTGAGCTGTTATATGCAAAACTTGAACATCTTAGACTGTGAGCACTAGACTGCTAACAAACAAATCGACCAATGGAACAGATCACATCCCTCCAAGAAGCAGCAATGAGCATTTTTTAAAGATGCTACTCAGGTGACCTGAGTTTTCGCATTCGCACAAAGACTTTATTCCCAGTGCTTCAAACTACGAAGCCCTGCACTGCACAAAGATTACAGAACAGAGCACAAACCAGCTCGCTCCCAGTTATTCCACTGCCATTCTCCTAAACTCACCGTGCTTGAGCTCCTTGAGCAGCTCCTCTTCCACCTGCAGCAGGAAGTTGTAGTTGTCCTGCATCTCCTGAGAGGGGTCCACCATGAGTGTGCGCACCAGGTTGGAGCAGTACGACTTGTAGCGGATCCCCATGGCACACGTGATGGCACCAAAGTGCATGTGGTTCTTATCGCTGCGCAGAGAGGGAACGATAGAGGGTCATTGATAACTGGTCTCTGCTCCTCATCTTGTCCTGTTGACTGAATCTATAATCTGTGAGCTGTACTTAGGCAGCATTTAATAAATCCTAGTGTTTTCCTACCCGATTTAAAACAAACAAAATGTTCAAGAGCAGGGGCCCGTTCTTCGTACGTCGCTTACTACATCCAAGATCAAATCATCGCGCTAACCGTGAGCTCGCTAATCCGGTTCCCCGAACACACCTGCTGTTGACGATTACTACAGCTGGACGCAGTAATGTGACATCACTGGGTGTCGTAAAAGGGGCTACGCATCGATAGTAGAAACATTGATCGGCAACCCTCTGATTGGTCGGCGAAAATGTCGACGGAGCGCGCTCGGCTCGGTATTTTTCGGCAGCAGAGCAAGAACTCTTGAGTGAGGGATTTCAGGAGTTTCAGAGTTTAATCAGAACGCAAGGGAACACTGCAAAGGCTGCAAAAGCAAGGAGCGAGGGCTGGCAGGAAGTTGCTGACAAATTAAACTCGTAAGTAATTTAATAATAACAATAATAATGGAGTGGATTGATATAGCGCTTTTCAAGGCACCCAAAGCGCTGTACAATGCCACTATTCAGTCACTCTCACATTCACACACTGGGGGAGGCAGCTACGGTTGTAGCCACAGCTGCCCTGGGGCAGACTGACAGAAGCCAGGCTGCCATATCGCGCCATCGGCCCCTCTGGCCAACACCAGTAGGCGGTAGGGTAGATTTATTATATTACACTATATTATCCAATATTATATTACATTATATTATAATATGTTATATTTTATCCTCTGTCACATTAGAGCCACGACAGGACCCACTAGAACATGGGAACAGGTAAAAGTGAAATATAAGAATATTCTACAGAATGGTAATATTTATCACTTATATTGCTTTTCGTCTCTTGGAAAGAGACCCTGGAATAATCTGTTTGTTTATAACAGCAACCAAGAAAAGGGCAGAGCAACAAAAGACAGGTGGTGGTCCTGCACCCCCTCGTCAACAAGTTGGTTAAGTAAATAATACCCTCACGGGAAAATCGATATCTCTCTATGAGCACACTGTCGCGCTGAGCTAAAGGATCCTGTCTGTCCCGCAATATACGCTGAATTCTGAGGACTCTCCTTATCAATCTTGCACCTTCCGCAATGGGTGGCTCGCGTATACGGACAGGACATGGCTGCGACAGACTTCCCAAATCCACCTTCGCTTTTATAGCCGTGGTCTCTCATCTTGATTACACGAAGTAATTTACAATTGCTACTCTGAAATATGAATTAAATCTGTAATAATCACATACATGTGATAGAATGTTAATAGTACATTTCCCTTTTTTAGGAAATGACCTGTATGTATCTGTGTGAAATCAATAAATGGATCAAGTGCTGCATTATCTTTAGTTACATTGATGTTATTTATTTATGGTGAAACAGTGGTGGAATATCGCTGTTGCTTTCGTATGAATGACGCGGACATACCTGCGTGGCCGCGATCTAATCCTGTTTACATAAAGTAAACCTGCTCCCGAGCAGGTTTACGCTTACGGCTCTGTTGCTATGACAGCAAGTCCCGGATGAGCTTCGGGGAACCGACTGATCCAGGATCACGCGAAATCGTCAACAATCTAATCCGGCTAACCTACTTAGCGAGGTACGAAGAACGGGCCCCAGCTCAGTATTTTAGGGAATATGCTGCTTTGTTTCTGAGTTTAGAGAGGATTAGCACAACTCATCTATCTGGGTGCTAAACAGGTGTGTCGCCAGGTATGTTAGCTCTGCACTGAGATCCACCTGAAAGCATCTCTGAAGCTCATTAACACTCGAATACTTTAATTCACATCAAAGATTAAACCGTAAAAAACATTAAGCTGTGGCTAAAGACTCATAAATCTACTCATCTAATGCTGCACTACATGTTTCCCATAAAATGTAAACTTTTTTTTTATATTAAAGGCTGCTGGATCCTGATTTTGGATTTCTTTAAGTTTTTACTCCTTGAAAATCAACTAGGACCAACCCTGAAGCTCTTGTGAACGTGAATCTTAAAGAGCTTTGTTTAAAAAATTTATTTTAAAAAACAAAACAATAAATTAATACATTTCCAGCACTACCAAAACCAATTTATTTAATTGTGACAAAACCAGCTGCAAATGCCTCCTGGCTTTAAGTGAGACTGGACCTGCACACACCTGACCACGCTGAACTTGAGACTGTAGTTCCCACCGCTCTGGATGATGGGAGGATAACACATTTCCACGGTGGACGGATCCGCACCACCCAGGTACTTCTTTTCCTCGATGGCCTTCTCCACCGACTCCGCCAGCTTGCTGTGACGCACTTTCTGTTGGAGAGGATCAAAAGACACAAATAAAGACGTGTGGCGGCTGCTCCAGTATTAGTTACACCTTCAGGGACAGAGTCTCCAAAACTAATCTGAGAGTGTTTGTGCGTTATTACAAACTGTGCTACACTGGACCTTCATAATCTACAGATATACTGATGACCGAAAAGTGATGCAAACGCTATGATATGACATGGATAAATTGTGTCTTAAGCTGTTCTAAGCACTGAGAGCAGACAGCAACACACAGCTTGAAAACACAAAATGACACCAAGTCCAGCTGCTCCTCCCCCCTCACCTCATCAGCATCAACAATCTCCATCACGCGCTCCTTGAAAAACTTTGAGTAAACCTCGCTGGTAATGGCTGCCGCTTTCTTCATCAGGGCCAGCTCTCCGTCTTCCTTCACCGCCATCGTGTAGGCGACCACAGCACTGATGTCCACCTGCAGACAGAAGCAGAGTACATCTGATCACGACTGAAACGGGAGCGTAACATTCGCAGAGCTGGCCGATGTGTTTGGATTGCGCCTCACCTTCTCCAGTCCCTCAGCAGAGAGCGTGTCATTCCAGCTCTTCATGTACTCTCCTGGGAATTTGTCTTTGCTGAACACACCCACCGTCTTGCCCTCTTTGCTACCTCTGATCGCCTCGATCATCTTGTCAAAGTTGGCCTTGTTGCTCTCGTTCTGAAAGACAAGTAATACACTAATAAAAGGATGAAAGGAAAAAGAAAATCATTTTTAGCACACTCCGCCTTCCCCTCCTCCAAGGCTGTTCGATTCATAACCTTTTAAATCCCACACAAGGCATGTGTTGACCACCGACGAGGTAGAACACAGGCGCTAATGTTCCTGTTTAACGTTCAGCACATTCACAGAAACTTTGATTCCTGCCAATCCCAACACAGTGCTCTCTGCAAGAAACCTGCCTCTCCCGTCTCCACCCGAGTGCAAAACCATCACATCTGAGTCATCCTTCTCTCCACACGACCATCTCCTCTGTGCCGGCTACATCTGGTGTGGTCTCTCGTCTCCAGCTACAGCCTGACAATTAACCAGTCCTTTCGTGGAAGTGGCAGCCACGTGCATGAGAAGGATGCAGTTTTTGAAGTATGACTACTCCACCCTCTACAACCCTTGCTTTTCTCTGCAGGAGGCCCTCCTGAGCAGTTCGAGCATGCAGGGGGTGTCCAAAGAGGAAGAAGGACGTCAGATAACGGCGTCAACCCAAGATGTTGACGTGACAGTTTGTGCAAAACCTCACTGGACTGCACCTCTTTAGAGCAGTCACAGTGTAGTCAAAGTGCAGAAAAAGGTAGAAGAGGAAAAAGTGCTATATGAAAAAGGCTTGTGCTAAAAAGCTCAAAATAGAAAACTGATACAAGACCAGTCCATCTGCAGGATCACGACCGCTGCCTGAGTCCTGCTCTGCTCCTCTCATGGAGTCTTTTATCACCTATGAGTACGACTCTGTTACAAAATAAACTGCCTTGAAATTACTGCTGTTGTAAATTAAAGCAAGTAATAATAACAACGCACATGCAATGAAACTAGATTTGAAGACGAAGTCAGCAGATACATACGTGGCTAAAAATCTTCACACCCTCCAAACTGAACCAGCTATTAGTTATTATCAATCTCTGGCTCTCTTCTTCCTTTCACCACCAAATATTCATGGAAGATCGCTGCCCCTCCCTTTGCCTGGTTCTGCCAGAAGTTCTTCCTGTTACAAGGAAGTTTTGCCTTCCCACTGTCGCCAAATGCTTGTCATGCAATTGTTGGGGTTTTCTCTGTAGTACTGCAGGAGCTTTACCTTACAATAAAAACCACTTTGAGATGACAGATGAGAAACAAAACTGCATTGGATTGAACAACATGTGACTTATAAAGAAAAAAAAAAGTCTGAAGAACTCAAACCACAAAAGAGGAAGCTTTCGATTTTTCTCAAGCACTCAATAACAAATCAGATTCCTCTTTTTGGATAAACCTAGCCATTAACAAAAAAAAAAAAAAAAACACATCACACTCTCTCACCAACTTCCATGTGTGTGTATATGAGGCGACTTCACGTGCGTTACCTTTTCTCTGGTGAGCAGGGTAATGGGCGGGACACCATTGGCATTCTCGTTGCCTTTAGTTATAGCCACCTGCTTGAGGAAATCCACCTTTTTCTTGCTGGCGAGGAAGATGATTTTGGTGTCACAGAACACCATGATGGTGTCGGTCAACTCGTAGCCAAACAGCCACGTCTGAGACAGAGAAAAAAAAAAAAAGAGGGGGGGGGAATCCCAGTACAAATTTAAACATGGACTCACTGGAGAAGCTTGAGGGCTGTTTTTTTTTTTTTTTTTTGGGGGGGGGGGGGGATTGGGGAGGAGGGAGTAAATTCCTGCATTTGGTGGCGTTTTACTGTTTTGGAGCTAAATAATAATTTTCTACTTGAATAACCCTCAAGGACAGCTGGTTGTAGATGCATATTGCATTTGCTTTTCTGGAGGCACAGGATGCAACAGCTCTGTAAAATGTTTATCTAAGATATAACAGATACAACGTGCTTGAGGACTTTAGGGAACTACAAAAGAGATTTAAGCCACACCCAAGGTCAATTTTGTTAAATTAAGTTTCAAATACTCAATGGCAGCTGAGATTCTTGCAAAAAACAAAAAATAAAAATAACAACTCATTAAAGTCATTTGAATAGCTCAAACTGACTGCAGTCACTCTGCAACAACCATTTCCCTTCCTAAATGCACAGAGAGAAAGGTGTTGCCTTCCTTTCACGTGCTGCTCCACACTTACCTGTATGGCTGTGGATTTGGCATACACAATTTCCTCATCAACCCCCACAGACACCACGATAGCGTCGACTTTGCCAAACTCATCTTCTCCCTTCTGCAAAACACAAACATACACACAGTTTGATGTCACGCATGAGATGATAAAGAGCATATAATGAGGTCCACAGTGAGGTGCTCCTACTCCATCTGGACTTGTTCTTTGGGGAAGTAGTGGCACAACCACACAACTCAAAGCTAATCCAGTTTATCATTCAGGATATCCGGCGATATTATATTAAGTCCCATTAAAGGTGCTTTAGAGGCTTTAAATGGCAGTTCCAATGCACATGAAACAGTTAAGCAGCCTGAGAGCGTGACATGGGGTCAAATATGAGCTGAAAAGTCAGCAACAAGAGCCAGCAGCTCTTAAAATGTACTTCAACCTATGAAAAGAGTGTACTTAAGATTAAAATAATTCACGCAGGAATCTTTAAACAAAGGTGAGAGCGGTAATAAAGAAAGCAGCTCTGGACGTCTTGCACATGTCACCAGGATGCTGGCGTTACTTTCATGCTAACTAGCCAGCTAATGTTAGCATGCAGCCAAGTGCGAAGTGGCAGTAAATGTAAACAAGTGGTGCAGTTAGCCACCTGTCAGGCACATCTATGTGCCTGACGACCGTCACAGCACGGCTTCATCTCAGTTTAAGTGTTAAATCAGAAGTGGCTGGTTTATTACACAGTTAGCCGCTCGGCTAATAAGTTAGCTTGGAGTAAAGTTAACATGCTAGCACGCTAGTTAGCGTGGTGAATGGGGCGATTTTGGTGCGCTAACCAGAGGCAACCAGCCTGCCAGTAGAGACAAGAACAAAACAAAATAAGGGTGGTGCAAAGGTTGGATTCGTGTGTGAAATAAAAAGGAAATAAGGAGCTCAGGTGGCGACCAGTGTTCGCCCTGGTATTGAGCGAGAGACACATCACCGCTTATCCTAACAACAGTGCGCTCGCTCGGGCAAGAAAAACGCGGCTAACTTGTCGCCAGCAGCTGCACTTTTCTCCACTAAAGCACACCGAGCGGACACACGCCTCACATCAACTCCCCCTTTACTATATTTTACCTTCCAGTTACTGTATAGTCTCTTGATCCGGCGGTAGTATGCGTCCTTATCCAGGTTTACCGCCATTGTGAGCGCTCCGTTTCAAACTCCAGCTCCCGGCTTTGCTTCGCAGCAGGCCGGATGAGGATGATGAGCAGTGTCAACTAACAACAACGCACTTTCTTTCCACGCCTGCTGGGCTCCAAATACCACCACGAGATGCTGCTGCTTCCCTTATAATTATACAATAGCGGCCCTCTGAGCTGAGGAGACATGTAAAAACACAGCGCACGCTAACCTTACAGCCCGCTTCACCTGCTTTAAAACTCGCAAAATTATTAAAATTGTATTTTTTCCCACCTCCTACTCGACACACACGACCACGTACACACCAATCTGTTATAATTAAGTCCACAGCACCCCCCTCCCCTCCAGTCTTTTTTCCTCCCTCCCCCCTCTGAGACTTCACACATCAGATTTTATAAAACCGTAAAACATAACATAACGCTTCATTATATTTTCACACCAACCGAAACATAATAGAAAAAACAATCGCGTTATTTCACCTCGATTCAATTTTTACTTTCTTATTTTTTATTTATTTTATTTTATTTTAGTATTATTTTTTGTGGCGCATTTCACACATTATCTGCACAACAGCACCCCCTGTCTAGTGTTGACCACGCTGCATTGCCCGCCACCGCGGTTTTCCCGCCACCGTCATCAAACGACTCATTTGACGTAATTCTCGCGATACCAGCAGTGGTTACGTATGGCCCGTGATGCTCTCCCAGTTTAATTGTTTTTCTCTGCAGGGTGATGTTTTATATGACATTCTTTGTCGGGTTTTCATTGACTAAAATTAACGCAGATTTTTATTTAATTTATTAGTTTTATATGTTTGTGTGTTTGTGTGCATACATTAATCGTGGGCATGAATATCATGGTACTTTTGGGACATTTTATTATTCGGTAGAACTGTTCTTCTTCCAGGGTGGCATATTGTACAGCATGATTTAATTACCTTCAAAAGAAGAATTGGGTACACAAGTCTGAATTCATTTCGGGGGGTTCTGATTCATACAGTGTGAACAGTATTCATTCAGGCTCAAACGTACAAAAACACACAAATGTTTTAATAAGTGGAGCTGAATGTCTTAACGTACGGAGGTCTATAGCTTGTTTTTGTTGACTGAGTAGACCTGGTATTTCCGTTTTGCAGAATAAAGAATTAAAGACGTTAATGAATGTTAATCAACATGTTTTCCTAATAATAATTATTCATTAATAAACCTTATTTTTATTAATATAATAATATTTATAATAACGATAACAATTATATTATTAAAGCTTATCTTTACTGTTATATCACATTCCTCTTGAATTTTTCAATTAATGTTAATGAACATATTTTCCTACTTCAAGAGAACCATCAAATCCACTTTTTATCAAATTAAATATTCTCAAATTTAAAGATCAAATTCAAATTCAAATTTTATTTGTCACATACACAGTCATACACAGTACGATATGTAGTGAAATGCTTGGACAACTGCTCGTGACCTAAAGAAAACAAAAAAGGAAAAGGCTATGAATAAGATAGGAAATAAATATGAAAAATTAAAAAGGGTAAATTTAACTAAGAAGGAATAAAATATAAATTAAGGTTAAAAATGAAATAACTGTACAACACAAATTAGAATGAAGGGTAAATTTAACTGGGAAGAATAAGATAAAATATATAAATTAAAGTTGAAAATAAAATAACTGTACAACAAAATACACAATATAGAACTATATAAGAATGTATGAAGAAATCTAAATATAAATAAATATATACACAATAACAGCAGCTGTACAAGTATTAACCGGAAATGAAGAATATAGTGACCAGTGTTGTGCAAAAAACAATGTGTGCAAAAACAATGTCCAGAAAGTCCAGTGTGTGTGTAAGAACCATATGTGTGGGTCAGTACTGTGTGGTGGTGTGATTGAGAGACCGTATCACCTGCGGGAAGAAGCTCCTCCTCAGTCTCTCTGTGTTGGTCTTCAGGGAGCGGAATCGCTTTCCGGACCTCAGCAGAGAGAACAGTCTGTTGTTGGGATGGCTGAGGTCCTTCACGATCTTCCTGGCCTTGGTCCAGCACCGCCTGCTGTAGATTGAGTGCAGGTCAGGGAGCTCGGAGCGGATGGTGCGCTCAGCTGACCGCACAACCCTCTGTAGAGCTCGTCTGTCCTGCATGGTGCTGTTCCCGAACCAGGTTAAGATGTTTCCCGTCAGGATGCTCTCTATGGTGCACGAGTAAAAGTTCCTGAGCACCTTGGTGGGCAGTTGGAAGTCTCTCAAGCGTCTGAGGTGGTAGAGACGCTGTCGGGCCTTTTTCACCACGGTGTTGATGTGACAGGACCATGACAGGTCCTGCGTGATGTGAACTCCGAGGTATTTGAAGCTGTCCACTCTCTCCACTGGGCACTCGTTGATGACGGGGGTCTGGTAGTTCCTCTCCTGCTTAGTGCTGAAGTCCACTATCAGCTCCTTTGTCTTACTGACGTTTAGAAGGAGGTTGTTCCTCTGGCACCAGTTCTCCAGATTCCTAATCTCCTTCAGGTAGGCCGTCTCGTTGTTATCAGAGATCAGGCCCACCACGACGGTGTCGTCAGCAAACTTGATGATGGTGGTGGAGCTGGTAGTGGCCACACAGTCATATGTGTACAAAGAGTACAGCAGGGGGCTCAGAACACACCCCTGGGGGCTCCAGTGCTGAGAGTGGTGGAGGCTGAGACATGTCCGCCCATCCTTACTGCCTGTGGTCTGCCAGTTAGGAAGTTGGAGATCCACTGACACATAGATGAGCTGAGTCCCAGATGCTCCAGCTTGGTGGTGAGTGTGGAGGGAATTATGGTATTAAATGCAGAGCTGTAGTCTATGAAGAGCATTTTAACATAATTCCCCCTTCTAGTGTCCAAGTGAGTGAGTGATGTGTGGAGGAGATGAGAGATGGCATCGTCTGTGGAACGATGTGGACGGTAAGCGAACTGTAGTGGGTCCAGTGTGTCTGGTAGTGAAGAAATGATGAAGTCTCTGACCAGGCGTTCAAAGCACTTCATCACTACTGAGGTGAGGGCTACAGGGCGATAGTCATTGAGAGAAGCAGGGTGGGGTTTCTTCGGGACAGGAACAATGATGGACTCTTTGAAGCATGTGGGGATCACCGACTGAGATAGAGAGATGTTGAATATCTCAGTGAACACAGGAGCTAGCTGGTATGCGCAGTCTCTTAGGATACGACCTGGGATGCCGTCTGGTCCTGCTGCTTTCCTGGTGTTCACTCTCTTGAAGGCTCTCCTTACTTCATGCTCGGAGATGACGAGCACGTTTCCGGTGCTGGCAGTATCTTCCTGTCTGCAGCCGTTAGCGCCGCTAACACTAGCATCGTTGGAGTCCTTAGCTGCAGCCTCGAAGCGAGCATAGAAAGTGTTCAGCTCGTCTGCCAGAGTCACGGCCGCGTTCGTCATACCGGTTGTTGGTGCTTTATAGTCCGTTATTGTCCTTAGTCCCCGCCACAGGCTCCTAGAGTCACTCTGTTGGAGTTGTGACTCTAGTTTCCTCCCGTAGCGCTGCTTCGCCTCTTTCACCGCCCTCCGCACGTTATATGACGCGGCTTTGTACGGGTCCATGTCCCCCGTTGTGAGTCCCGTGTTGTAGGCAGCGGTGCGGGATCTCAGAGCGTTGCGGATGGTTTTATCCACCCACGGCTTCTGGTTGGGAAACGTTGTGATAGTCTTTGTCTCCACGGTATTATCCGCTAGTTTCCCGATGAATCCCACAACCGCTTCCGTAAACACGTTGACATCATCATCGGAGCTGTTTCTGAACATGCCCCAGTCTGCGTCATCGAGTGTGTCCTGTAACGCGGCCACCGATTGATCCGTCCAGCGCGCGACCTTCCTCTGAACCGGAACTTTCTGTTTCAGCCTTTGTTTATATTTTGGCATGAGGAAGATGGCGGCGTGATCAGATTTGCCAAACGGAGGGCGGGATTGTGCCTTGTAGCCGTCCTTGACCGTAGTGTAGCAGTGGTCCAGTGTCCTTTCACCTCTGGTGGGGCAGGAGATGTGTTGATAAAAGTTCGGCGGTGCGCGTTTGAGGTTGGCGCTATTAAAGTCCCCCGTCACAATAAGCGCAGCGTCCCGGTGTTGTGTCTGGTGCTGTGTGAGTGCCTCATGCAGCTCGCATAAGGCGGTGACCGTGTCCGCTTGTGGTGGAATATAAACGGCACTTATAATGACCGATGTAAATTCCCGAGGTAGATAAAAAGGACGACACATGATGGACAGTAGTTCCAGATTTGGTGTGCAGGAGCGTGTGAGAGGAACAACGTTCGCACTGTTGCACCAGTTGTTGTTCACCATTAAACACACGCCGCCTCCCCTTGACTTCCCCGAGTCCCGTGTCCTGTCCATGCGGTGAACCGAGAAGAACTCGGCCGGCTGGATGGCGTGGTCCGGCACCGCTGGGTTCAGCCATGTCTCGGTGAAGCAGAGGAGATTGCAGTCCCGAATGTCTCTCTGGAACTTTATACTGGCCCTGAGGTCGTCAAGCTTGTTCTCCAGTGACTGGACGTTGGCGAGCAGGATGCTAGGCAGAGGTGTGCGGTGTGCACGAGCTCTCAGCCTGTTCCTGACGCCGGCTCGCTTCCCTCTAGGCCGCCGCCGCTTCCCTTTGTTCTCCCTCGAGATCTCACTCGGCCAGCTCGGATCCGGAGTTAAAAACTTCGAATTGTGAGTACATTGTATACCAATAGAAACAAGAGTGTCACTGTCATACCTAATGTACCCAATGGTGATGATTTTGCCGATTTAGAAACGCTGAAAACTAACTTAAAAAACAAAGACAAAGAAAAAGTGGTCGGAGCAGTCGTGACGGCAGCCGACCTCACCGGCGCCATCTTCATTTCAGATTGGTTAACCTCAGACCTGCGTAAACAATATACAAAGCCGCAAATAAATCTTTGTCCCACAACATTCAGAACTTGTTCCAAATAAGACCAAAAACTCATGACTTCAGAGGAATCCTTATGTTCAGCAAGCCAGTGGACAAATGTAAAATATCAGAGCATTACAGTCATGGGAGTTAGTGTGTGGAACACCTGTACAGATGAAATCAGGAAAAGTACGTCAATACAAAATAATAAATTGCATCAATATAGGAAATCTTCCTTTCAGTGACTGAAAGAGCAAAGTACCCCAATAAATTATTATTGGGATAACATGTTCATCAACGTTAATTGAACAATTCAAGAGCAATGTGATGTTACGGTATAGAAAGTTGTGCATGTGTGGCATGGTGGCCAAGTGGAAAGGCGTTGGTCTCGTAAACCAAAGATCATGGGTTCAATCCCCATCCGTGCCT